ATAGAGTAATTCCTCATTGATTGAAAATCATACTCGAAGGAATGACAACCAAGTAAATAGATGATTTGAAGAATAAATTGGAGGAAGAGATGAGCCGAATCATATCTGAGATGGAAGAAATGTTCTCCATTATAGAAGAAGCTTTTTTCTCCACAAACGATAGGTTTTCATCCATGAAAAACATATTTGAGGATTGATTCGAGGGCTTGGAGGAGATGATGGGGAAACTTATTGAGATGCAATCAAAGACTCTGTCGAAGATTCAATTTGCAAACCCTAACCATGGGTTAACTAAAGAATTCTTGGTTCAATCGGGAAAAAAATCATATGAGAGGAACATAAGGATGAAAGCATCCATCATCAAGAACCATCGATGGGGGGTGGAGGAGATTTTCGATGGAGGGGGTCGAAACATGGAAAAGGGGTCATGCAAGAGGTACGAAGGAGCATAAAGATGGAAAGAGGGAAGCCAGAGTGGGGTATTGCAATGTTTGATGGAGGGAATTTTACCCTAAATACATCGGGGGAAACACTAGAGGGAGAAGAAGTTGGGGTGGCGTTACTAGAGTTAGAAAGTTGAAGATGCCGATCTTTGATGGGAAAGATGCATATGAGTGAGTGTACCAGGTGGAGTGATATTTCACAGTGAATGGGCTAAATGAGAAGCTCATGGTAGCAGGGTCATGTTTGGAATGTAAAACTTTAGTTTGGTTTCGGTGGAGGGAGGCTAGAAACCCGATTCGTGTGTGTGAGGAATTTAAAGATTGTTTGTAGGAACGTTTCTGAACCATTCAGGAAGGAGATTTACATGAACAGTTTTTGGCACTGGTTCAGGAAGGGTTTGTCATGAAGTATAGGAGAAAATTGGGTGGTATTCATCTGTTTGAAAGTGATATCAGAAAAAGAGTTGAAAGGCAACTTCATGAAAGTTTGAAGCCACAAATTCGAGCATCACTTCGTTTGCTAAAATGGTGAAGACTGTGAGAAACTATGGAATTAATGCAGTTGGTTGAAGATAAAAATCTAATAGACTAGCGAATAGGAGCGACACAGGTGGAGCACTGTGCAAAAATGTTACAACCATGATGATACCAAAAACTCAAATAGTGGAAGTCTAGCAGGAGTCTCCATGAGACAAGAATAATGGGTCACGACCGGAAGCGACACTCGAGCATCTTACAAACATAGAGATTCAGGAGAAGCGAGCCAATGAGCTATGCTTTATTTGTGATGAGAAGTTTGTCCCAGGACACCATTGCAAGAATAGAACATCACAGGTTCTTACAGTGTGTGATAAGGAGATAGAGGATGAAGAAACAAAGAAGACAGTGGTGGAGGAGGTACATTCTCATCTTTCACTTTGAGAATAATGTGTCTTTTTGGGAGGGGAGTATTGTTACACTGGGGCCTAAGGGCAATTTAGTCTTTATTAACCTAGGTGCAATTTAATCTGTTATTATTTGTTATCATTTAGTATAATTATGGCTAATATGTTTAGGGTTAGGTTATGCATGAGATTATTGTCTTTGAGTATTAGGCTTAGGATTTGGGAGAGATTTCCTTCCTCTTGAATTGTTGGATTTGGGAGAGATTGCCTATCTCTTGAATTGTAGATGCTTGTCTTTATGTATTTGTGTTATCTTTATGTATTCGTGCTGAGTTGTCTGGTGTTTTTGAAATAAAAATGTTTTGTTCCCTTATTTTAGTGGAAAATTTGTGGAGAGTCATATCAGATATCTATTCTGATTAGCCATAGATTACAATTTTTTGGTTATGTATGGATGCTGCCTCATTTTTCTTAGGCTACATGATAAGGCTGTCTTTTATATTGTGTGAATTTGATTGATGAGACGTTTCAAAATTTGAATGAGCTTACGAGGTTTTCTTCTTGAAGCCATCTGATAACTCAAAGCAAGGATGGCACCTTGACTGAATGATAAGAATTATGGAGTTCTAAAGTTTGATTGGAATTAATTGTTTCTTTGGGGTTTTAATTTAGACTTGCTCAAGCTGATATTATGTCAGCCAGCGGGGTGAGGTGTAAATTTTTTGAAGCATGTAAAATAGTTTTTGCTTGAAAAAAATCTCTCTTTCCAATTTCAATCTGATAAGTGTAAGCTGTATGTATAATTCCTTCAGTTATGGTACAAGTTTGATGATCGATTTTAAGCTAGCGTAAGACTTAATTTAACTTGCTTTGTCATTTATAATTCATCATTCTATTTCATCTACATAATCTGATATTGAATTTTCCATGTTCCCTAAAGCATAACTAATAATGGCAGACAGAAAGGCTACATGGGAGATTTATAGATCTCAATTTGCTTTTAAATCTTCATAGGAGTTTACTTTGTTTGCATAATTGCCGTGATATTTTCCATGATTTCTAAGTTTATTAATCTGCATTTTGTAATGTCTTGGTTTTCTTCTGTTGTGAATTATTTGACTTATCTTCTATTGCTGACAATGCATTTTTAATATGTTATTTTGGGACTCATGTACACTCAGTCATATTAACTTCACCAGTTCACTTTCCTAAGGCTTCTGTATATCATTATTCTCTGTTCTAAGGCTTCTGTATATCATTTTCCTTTTTTCAGTAATCTCTTTTATTGAAATATTTTACTTTTGACAGCCTTCAAGTAGATCGATTGATTAAGACTTGTCTTGTTGATTTTAAAGTTTGTAAGCAATCTTGTACCTCTACAGTTTACTTGAGAGGATGCATCTGCTATATGATGCTCCTATCAATTAGTGTCTGTGAAGAAGCGTTGACTAATGCACCCGTGAAATGCTAAAAAATAGAAAGTCCGAGTTTTTTACCTAATGGGATGCATATGCAAAGGAGGCCAATGATCAGGGAATCAGGTCAATGAAAAAAAATTGACAAATCACATTTTGTTAGAGCTGGGACTGCGAAGAGCTGGATGAAAACTAGGAAGAAGTGGCATAATCGTTAAACGTGGCTTGGCTTAACAATACAACTAAGGGTGAGAAAAGTTTGATTTTGTGCGATCCTGCGCCAACCCAAAATTTGATAGAACCTATTTATGTTGGCCTGTAGATCTAATTGATTTGATTTCAAGCTTGCTTGGTTTGGATCAGGCTGATTTCAAGCTGGCTCAAATTTGATATCAGTCCACTTGAATTCACTTAATTTACCTTTTTTCAATTTTAAAATAATAAATACACATATATGCATATTTCAACTATCATATGCTTACATATTCATCTATGTATATATTAAAACTAAAAAAATATACATATTAGGCTCAGCTCCTAATTGGCTTTGAAGATCTAATCGGGCCAAAAATTTGGCTTGTGAGTCTACTCGTTTGGCTCAATCCAAACTTGCTCCAAGCCAAAAATAGATTCAATATAACCAGCTAAATTAGTAAACCAGTCACTCCTTTTATATAAATGGTAAAAAAAAATGTTTGGCATTGAAGTCTTTATAATGTGCATTCCTTTTTTAAGAAGATATGAAAAGTTTATCTTAACCAAAACCTAATTATCTTACTAGGTATCTTTTTTCTCTCCATGCTGACCATTCTCCTCCAGCTGTCTGATCATTCCCGCCGGCAAGGACAATAATTGGCGATGGTATGCTTTATAGAATTGTAAGCTCACTGACATGAGAATCTTCTTTCAGAAACATACAGGATCCCATGCGCTTGTCCTGCAATTGTTGACCAGTGATCTTGTGCTCTTGACACACTTTTTTTAGGGCATTTACATATATACCGCCCAATTTAGATGTTAGATATGTAAGTACATAGGAATTGAGTGTAATGTATGTAATTTCCCCTTTTTTTAATCTCATCCATATGCTAAGAAAGAAGTCCTTGACGTAGGTTGCAACCAAACCAGGCATGCCTACCTGGTTCCAGCCAAATGAGATATGCATGCATAGGTTGCAGCCAATTTTGTCATAGATGTCTGTGAGCCTCTTCTTTGTAGCCATGCCTTAATTGCAAACGTTGGTGGAAATTTCTAAGTTTCGCCTAACCTATGTGTACATGCCAGGATGGTTGCATTTCAAGTATGCTTGGTTTGATGGTTCCGTTGTATACATCATGCATGATTCTTTCTGAAAACCATATCCTACACTTTGATCGCAGCAAATGCACATAGATGCTGCTCCAAAATTTTGTTTTAGCTTGCTGCTGAGAGGAGACAGCATGGCAGAGAAAGGGTTTGCAGGAAGGTTTGGAAATGATTACCACGGCGATTTAAATATAATACTTGAACAATGCTGCCCTTTCATAGGAGCTAATTATAAGGATTTTACGTATATCTCTGCTTAAAACAGACACATGGCAAAAAATTTGCTGCTACTTCAGTTGACAAATCTGGATGACTAGCGATCCAGCAGGCTTTGAAAACCATGTAACTGGTTGCTTTTTGAATATTTTGGGCGGAGAGATCCTTGACCTGGTTACCTTGTTTCCATTAATCTTTAATCAATTAATATAATCTAAAACAATAAATGGTGCACATCCATTGCATAAATTCTCCTCTTGGGAGGGACAATAAAGCTATTTGAAAAGAGGCAATTGGTGATCACTTGCTCTGGATCTACTATTCAATTTATTGTAAATGCTGCTGCATATACCATCATTTTTTATTAATAATTTTGGCTTGCCCACATATTGTTGGCGTACAAAACCTTAAGAATCCTTCTTTTTGGCATGTTGGCTTATAAAAATGAATACTTCTATTTTATGTTGGAATACAAATCAGCTGTTATGAACTTAGATTGGAACGCTACGCTGATCCCTTTATCTTTTCATGCTTTATTATGTTATTTATTGTAAAAACTGCATAATCTGATTACTTTGTTTTGCCCTTTGAAATATTACTATATTTTTTGTCGCTGTTGGTTGCATTGATTTAAGTTCATTGAGTGGGCTATGAATGGCATACTTTATACACCAATTGTTATAATTTCATTGACAGTATATGCTGAATTATAGTTTTTATTTTTTACTTAAAACCAGGTGGCATAATGGCTAGCAAGCGTATCCAAAAGGAGCTTCAGGATCTGCAGAAGGATCCTCCAACATCGTGCAGTGCTGGGCCTGTTGGCGAAGATTTGTTTCATTGGCAGGCAACTATTATGGGTCCATCTGAAAGCCCTTATGCTGGAGGGGTTTTCTTTATTAAGATCCATTTCCCTCCGGATTACCCATTCAAGCCTCCTAAGGTTAACTTTCAGACCAAGGTGAGTGAAAAGGCACTTTTTTAGTATGTTCATTCCAAGTACATTCTTTAACAGTTTTCCTTGTCACGGTGGCTTGTTTTTTATTCTTATGGCCGATTTTAATATGCTAGCATTGTTTTTATTTTATCACTGTCTATTTGCACCATTGTGTTTGTTTTTCCTGTTTTACTAATAACTGTAGCATTTTGTATTTTCAAGTTTTTATGTACCACTAAATTTCACTCTGTAAGGGTGATGAGAACACAAAAAAGAAGCTAAGACCAAATCTGAATAAAATTATTTACACTGTATCATATCTGATTAAGTAGTTCAAAATTATAGTCTTAATTGTGTGTTTGACTATTTGTAATATCAGCTGTATCGCAAAATTTAGCAGTTAAATAAGGTTATACTGAATAGTTTTTTGGTTTGATTGAGTTGAGTCTTAATTATGGTTCACGCATCAAGGTTGAGGAAGGTTTAAAAATAATTAAAAAAAAACCTTTGGAATGCTAATTCTAAACGGGAGCAGAACTATTTATATTTTTAAAAATTCATACTTCGGAAATTCTATTCTTGCACGCATACATGATTTTAAAAAGCTGTTTGCGAGAGTGTTTTTAAAATCTGTAGCTTCCTGTATGGATACCAAGTGGGTACTGAAAATTTAAGAATTTTCCATGAATTCTATTTTGAATTAGTTTAATATATCGGACACATGAACTTAGTTTAATTGTCAATTTAGGTTTAAAAAATTGTTAATGTGACTATGTCAATGCACTTATATCGGCATTTATCTCATGAACTAGTAAAATGATTTCTATCCTTTTTGATTTTTCCGTATTCTCATTCTACTTGAAATCTGCATCTTCATATAAAATGGTACTGGATGCCTACAAACTCAATTCAAATAGCAGCTCCGTTTTTCAAAATGGTGGTAGACTGGACGGTGGTGCAGAAAATACCTGTCATATCTAATGTAAAAGTTCCTGATTTTTATCATACACTCAAGACAGCATTTGGTATTGAAGAATCAATTTCTGTTTTCTCCGAAAGGCTACATTGGAGGTATTTTTGTCCGAGTCATTTCATGAAAAAGTAACCTTGAGAATTGGTTTGATATGCATTAATGAGAAAAGGTTGTGCCAAAGGTCTATTTGATGTTATCTATGAATAAAATCTGTTAGTTCTTGTGCTATGAAGCACAGAAACAGGTATGGGAAGACGGACACGATATGATATGGGGATACGACATATATGAAAAAAATAGGGCACAACACGGCGTGAACATGTTTTTATATTTAATTAATAATTAATATGAAATATATATATTTTTTTCATTATTTTTTTATTAAAATATTACAACACAAATTATGCAAGAATAAATTTTAACTTCATAAATTTAATTTATATTATAAAACCTCATGCTTATGAACATTAATTTTTAAAATTAGATGGAATATATTTCAAAAGAATTGATCCAATTTATCTGCTGAATTTTAAAAAATCCTATGATTACAAAGAGAGAATTACTAATGCCCGGCTTTGAAGAAATATTGAATGCACATTCGATGCTTGATTTTGACGAATGTTAGAGGAAACTTTAATATGACGAGAGTTGGTGTGGTTTCAACCATGAGACCTAGTTAAGGCTGTATTTATATTTATAATTTTCTAATACCCGTGTCACATTTTATCAAATTTGTGTTAAGCTTGCATCTCCCAGATGTGTCCAGGTCTGAAAAAAATTCAGACATATATTTTTTAGTGGGGGCGTATCGAACAAGTGTCGGTGTCCAATGCGTGTCCAACATGGGTACATCACTTTTTTAGAATTGTCGGTGCTACGTAGTTTTTGAGTGACTAGAGTTACCAATTATTTAAGTGTCTGTGCTACATAAGTTTGTATCTTTTTATATTGGTCATGGAGTTGCTTAAAAGAATGAAATGAGGTTCCATGGTTTATGTTATTTTCAAATGATAGCTCTAATCAGTGGAGTCTTTATTGACATAAATGGATATATTGAACTCTGGAGGAATTCTCTGAAATTCACTGGCTTTCGGGTAAGTAGATTAAAGATCAAGTATATGCCATGGAATTTTAGTGGGCGTAAAATTGATAATTCTGATTTATATTTCTAGAAAATATGTGATATTTGAATGTGTTAAATTAATATCTTTGAGCTATTGTATAGAAGAAAAGTATTGGTGAGAATATAACTTTAAAGTTAATGCTGGGTGTTCAAATTACAGAAGTGCTTTCGCTGTTTTATGCTATGAAAGAATATAATTGAGAATCAAATATACACTTTATAAAGCTGTAATTAGATGGACTATGTGAAATGAGTATCATTGTTGAGTTCTTGCAGTTATGGTGACTCAGTTGAATATTGTAGAATGAAAATATTAGGCTAGGTATAGTTAAAGCAGATAAGATTGAATGGTAAACAGTTGCATTTAAGGAATTATATATGGATTTACGGATGATTGAGATAATGTAGAATAGACTTAGTTGGTTCAGATTTTTTTCATTGGAGGATAGAAAATGCACTAATAATGGAAGGATTATGATGGACAATGAGTAAACCTATGGTGATATGTATAGAACTTGTGCTAATAAGTCACGAATTATTTTTATTATGTCAACTAAGTTTCTATAGAAATGAATGAAGAGCAAGGTTTCATAAGCCAGTCCCCAACAGTTGGAATATGGTGAATGATGGTACTTATGATAATAATGATAATGTGGTGCAAAAAAATTAAGATGGGCTAACCACTTATATTTGGTTTTCTCAAAAACAAAAAAGACTTGGTATTCTATGAATGGTTTTAATTTTAATCTGTATTATGTTTAGTCAGGATGGTGATAATGTGTTTATTTGTGTGAAGGGAAGCTTAACTTATTTTTATAAGCCTTTTAAATTCTTTTTCGTTATCAATTTCAATCGCATTGTATAGGTATCAATTTTGATTGTTTATTATTATTATTATTATTTTGCTTGGTATCATTTATTTAGTTAATTTATTAAAAATAAACTTGGAAACAACTTTTGTAGACCTATATTTTGTTGATCATCATTCCCAAGAATGCTTAAATATGCCTTAGTGACACTATGAGACATAAATGTACTGATGACATTACATAATTTCTGTTTTCTTTAATTAAAATTGTACTTCTAACTATATTTATTTATTTAATATGCTGTAAAATAATTTCAAATATTAGTTTATCATCAATTGAAAATTTCCAAAGTTTTCATTAAGAAATTCCATCATAATTAAACTTATCCCTAACATATAGATTAGTTTTCTGAATTTTGATTCTATATTTGCTCCAATTGATTATTGCAAGAGGTATAATATTATTATTTATTCATCATGAATAAATTTAACTGGTAGAATAAAAAAAGTATTCATGAACATAATTAATTGAATATTTTGTTCCAATATTTATGTAGTATTTATGTAATCCTAAAGTATTTCTGATAAAACACATACAAAATAAGATTATAATAATTATCAATTAATTATAATAATTTTACATATCAATGTGATGCCATAAAAACCATGGATCTATGAGGTTGCAATGAGCAAAAAGAAATAAAGCATGATGAACGATGAACTCTGTGGGGATAGTTTGGAAAGTTGGAATGGCAGTGAACTCAGGGAGGCTGCGCGGAGTACTAGCAGGCAGGTTGGGCTAGCTGTTGGGAGAATTCAGTGGAGCATTTCAAACCACCCATCAAGCGAATGAATGAATGTTGTCATTGTAAGCCTGCTTGATAAATTTTGAAAGACTACCCTGGATAATCATTTAGTGAGTATATGATACCAGAGCTAGTAGGAAGAACAGCGGAACAAAAATAAACATTTATTAATATAGAAATATGATTACAACCTGACTAAAATAGAAATGAAATACAATAATAGGCGAATCCTCCGGCTAGGGATTTAAGAAGGTGTCCAAAGGCGGTGGTAGCATCGGCAGGGTGGCAGGGCAAGATGAGAAAGGTTGGGTGGTTGTTTGCTTAAGTGGTGATGGTGTTTTGTTGGTTGTAGGTAGGTGGGACGACAAGGTTGCGGAGGAAGTGGGAGTGGCGGTAGAGTGGTGGAGGCGTTTGAGGGTGGTAGGCAGCTAGTGGAGAGGTAAGAAAAGAGGGTCGGTGAGAAGAAGTGAAGGTGATTGAAAGTTTTTAACACTACCTTGGAGCAAGATATAACTGAAGCATTACCTGTCGTCGGATACAACCCTAACAAGGGAGAAGAGACTCCACACAAAAGATTGTAAAGCAACTCTACTAGAACTGCCTTCTACACACAGGGGACAACTATTTATAGCCTCCTATTTCTACACAAAAGGAAGAGGAGTGGGTAAGTAAGAAGAATCCAGAAGAAGACAGGTGCGGAAGATACGCGAAGCAACCCCTAGATCGTGAGGGTTTGCGATTCGCTTTCTTCTCCATCACGCGGGATCACAATGCCGTCTGCCCCGCTATTCTGCGAAGCTTCGTGGGATTACAGTAGGGCGGACATAATTGCGATCCCACGTGATCCTTTCAATTATTATAGAATTCTATTCACTTCCCTAAAACACTACTAGAATTATTTATGAATTGACTTACCACATCAACAATGTGAGCAATGTTAGGTCTAATACGTGATAAATTGGTAAGTTTTTAAAGCATTTTCTTATAAGAGTTTTTTTTTTATTGTGTTCTCTAAAGCATCTCTAATTCGTAGTTAAATTCAATGGGGCTTTTGATGGACTTGCATCCTAACTTACCCATCTCTTTTAATTGATCTATTTTTCTTTTTTATGTTGGTATGAAGTGTCCATGAGAAGAGTATGCAACTTCAATTCCAAGGAAGGACTTCAGTTTGTTTAATTTTTTGACTTATATTTTTTTATTCAATATTTCTTGAAAATTTTAATTTCTTTTGAAGTTACTACTTGTAATGATAATGCCATCAATATAAGCCAATAGTGGTAGCACTCTCTTTAAAAATGTGTGTTTTGCATGACTAATGTGTGATCTCCTTGATTTTATTTTTATCCCATGTTAAGTATTACTTGGAAGCTATACATTTGTTGAGAGGTTTGATGGAGAAGTTCAGAGATAATAAAGAGGATCTACATTTGATTTTTATTGATTTAGAAAAATCTTACGATAACATTCCAAGAGATGTCCTTTGGAGCGTTCTTGAGAAGAAAGGTGTTGATATGAGTTATATTCAAGTCATGAAAGATATGTATACTAGAGCTATTACTTGTGTTCGAACTGGAGGATGATTGACCAAATATTTTCCTATTTCTGTTGGATTACATAAGGGATTGACTTTAAGCCCATATCTTTTTGCTTTAGTTATGGATGGTCTCACTGGACATTTACAAGAGGATGTACCTTGATGTATGCTTTTTGCTGATGATATCCTTCTCGTGGATAAGACAAGAGAAAAAGCTTAGGAAAAACTTGAATTATGGAGATTTGCATTGGAGTCTAATGACCTTCATTTGAGTAGAACTAATACTTAATACATGGAATGTAATTTTAGTAGTAGTAGCTCTAGTGATAGAAGTGTAACTTTGGGTGATCAAATTATTAAAAGGTGTGAGCAATTTAGATATCTGGGGCCTGTTGCTCAAAACAATGGTGATATAGATGGGGATCTTAATAGTAGAATTTGAGTTGGTTGGTTGAAATGGAGGAATGCTTCGGGCTGTTTTTGTGCTAGAAAGTACCGCTTAGAATGAGAGGAAAATTTTATAAGAGGATGGTGAGACCTGCATGTTTGATGCCGTTGAATGTTGCTCTTTAAAAGAGAAGCATACTAAATTAAGTGTTGCTGAGATGAGAATGATTAGGTGGATGAGTGGCTTTACACTTAGAGACAATATGGTAAATGAATATATCCACGATAGGGTTGGTGTAGCTCCAGTGACGAACAAAATTAGAGAGAGCCGTCTTTGATGGTTTGGTCACATTAATCGTTGATCATCTGATGATCCGATTAGGAGAGTAGATGTTTTAGATCGACTTATGTTAAGAAAGGCAGAGATAGAGCTAGGAAGACTTGGGCTTATTGTATAAAAAATGATCTTAATTTATTTGAACTAAATGAAAATGACACTAAATAGGACACATTGGAGAAAAATGATTCATGTAGCCGACCCCACGTAGTGGGATTAAGGACTATGTTGTTGTTGTTGAGCATTACTATAAAGAAACCTCCAAGTAACTCTCTTAGAGATTGGTTCAAGTTATCAACCCATATGATATATTTTTTATCTTGCATAACTTCTATCATGTATTTGAACCAAATCTTGGTTGAAACTTTATAATATATACTTTCTCCTTTAGATTGTCATGTAGGAAGTTCTTCACATAAAGTTATTGTATATTTTATTCTTAGTTAGCTGCTAATGAGAAGAGAATTCTAACACTGCTTATTTTAGCTATTGGAGTAAAAGTTTCATGATAATCCATTATATGTTTGAGTAAAATTTTTGTTCCTTGGTCTAAATTTACATCATTCTAGTGAACAATTAGATTTTTATTTAACAATAAGTACCTTTATTATTATTATTTTAAATTTTAGTAACTTTACTAGTTCCCATGTTTTATTTTTTGGTCACCTATTCTATCTTTTGTAGCATTTTTCTAATTCTTATCATTTAAAGACTTATAAATTTGTTTAGGGATAGAAATAATCGTAAGAAAGTATTGGTGATTATAATGAAGATTTTCTTATAATAAAGAAAACTATATATTATGTTTAGTTGAAGTATCTCTATTTATAGCTCAATGGTTTCATTTGTTGATTCAAATAATTGATTTGACTTGCTTTGATTGAGGCTTTTTTTTAGTAAACCTGTAATTGTTGAGTGGGAAATAATCATGGAATAGGTTCGATTTGAGTGTGTGTTTTTTTTTGTTGACATGAAAATAAGTATAATCTAACAGTGAAGAATCAATTTGCAAATGATATTTGATGACAATAATAAGATAATGATATTTTTCATTCTAGTGACATCATTGGACCCATTCACCTTTTTGTGGGGAAATGGTTGCATTTATATATTTTTGTGGGAATAAATAATGAAGACTTATCAAATTGTTCATTGATCAACTTTCTTTTACTTTGGAAATGTGTCTAGACTACAACAACATTTCTAAATATTTTAAAAGTAATGATGTTTGAGGTATTAACATGGGAATGAATTTGTTAAGGAAAAATGTAGGACTCTTGAACTTGAGGATCATTGTAGATAACTAGTTTATGATGCAGGTGTAGTTAAAAATGTTTGCTCTCGGTGTTTTCTTGGTGTATTTTTAGCATATTATTTTTGAAAAAGGAGAACTTCTATAATAACGAGTAGGTGGTAGTTTTTTTTTTAGTCACTATTTTGTCTGGGGATTGTAAGCTCGCTATAGATTTTTTTTGGTGTTCCTAACGAACGCTTTTGTTTAACTATATTGTGTAAATGTCCTAATTTTCTTCCTTTACGAACGCTCCAAATCGATCACAATCACTTTAAATGATTCTTTCCAGTCAACTAGTATTGTGAATAGCTGTTTCTCTAGTTTTCCATTAGATTTTGATTTATTTTCTCAATTTCAATAAAACGCAATACCAAGGCTCTGTGGGTATTGCTGTTTCTGCCATGGGGAGGGAAACTACGGTTCAATACATGGACAAATAGAAAAGGAAAGACATGTGTTGAGGTAGTGACCAAAAGCTACAATTAAAAAAGTGATGGATGTTTGTGGTATTGTAACGATGAAGGATTCAATAATTAAAAAAAAAAAAAAGAAAGGAAAAAAATCTTGGGACTGTTGATATTATAACAGGAATTGGAGAGTATTTTTTGACTATTCATTCCAACAATTGTTTAATGTTTATACAATTTTGGAGACCTTCTAATAGGAAACATATAAAATATGGGATTAGTATCTGAAGGATAATTACAATAGTTTCATGAGTTGGTGATGGCATTAAAAATCACAAAGTGAAAAGGAAAAAAAAAAAGAAAGATGGCGAAATCCATGGAACTAGCTTGGAAGTGCAGATTGGTAGGCTCGGGGCGGGTGCTAGGTAGGAAACAACAGATGCGTGTCACAGCTGGGCTAGCAAGTGGATGAATTCAAAGGGGAGTTTCACAATTCAGCATATTAGTTGAAGCCCTAATGAGCATATAACCATAGTTTGCAATGACGAGAGGGAAAGAAAAACCATAATTATATTAAGTGGAAGATTACCATAGTTTTGAAAGAGAATTAAATAAAACAAACACAAAATTTATGTTTTTCATTTACTTCTAAATAAAACTTCGTTCTTTCTACAAGTAGGATTTAATTTCGGTGGAATCACAACCCATTTAATATATATCACTGAGATTAAGATTGCAAAGGCAAACCGAGAGGGAGATCTTGTTGTAGGAAATAGATACATCAAACTTGGCTCACAGAAGCTACCACGATGGTAACCCCATTTCATGGGATGTTGACATTACGTCGATACTATGAAAAAAAAAAAAAAACAAAAATCTGTTGTATATTATTTTGTAAAACATATTGAGATTTATGCCGGGCCTTCAAGCCCTCAATTACCAACCAACACAATTAGTTACTAGAACAAAAATTCAACCAGGCCATATTTTTTTTTGCATTTACATACGTACCACCAAATTCCTACATATTTACATATCTAACACCCAGACATTGATTTTTACATTTATACCACCGAAATCTTTCATATCACATTAAAAGTATCCCCATTTTAACTTTTAAACAATGAAACATACTTTTTCATGCACAAGTATTGTGGTGTTTATGTAAAAGTCAAATGTAGGTGTTAGATATGTAAATACATAAAAATTGAGTGGTATTTCTGTAAATCTTCCTTTTTTTTTCATTTCCAATTAAAGCAAATCTGAAATGACTGATGTAGATCAATTTTCACCATTTTTACAAACTATGCTCTTTTCATTTGTTCTTTAATTTCCACCAGTTGATGTTACTGTTACAGAAAAAAAGTTATATTTCCGTCTTACCTTTCCTGTCGCTTGTGCTCTCAGCTTAGTTAACATTCTCAATGTTCTCATAATTTTGTCATCTCAGAAGTTTATATCATGCAGCAACAACCTTCTATCATGATTATGTGTGATAAAATTTCCACAGGTTTACCACCCAAACATCAACTCTAATGGAAGCATTTGCCTGGACATTCTCAAGGAGCAGTGGAGCCCCGCACTCACCATATCAAAGGTTCTCCTTTCCATCTCCTCTCTGCTCACAGATCCCAACCCCGATGATCCCCTCGTCCCCGAAATCGCTCACATTTACAAGAATCAGAGGAGCCGATACGAGGAGACCGCGAGAGCTTGGGCCCAGAAATATGCCATGGGCTGATGAAAGAAGACTTCAATGGACCCTATGATTCTGTGTGTAATGTTTGTAATGAGTTTGCTATGTGAAAAATATAAATACTTGTTGGTTTAATATTATGTCATGGAAGTGTAAAACCTGCTCTGTGGTGTCTGTAACTTTTGTATGCTTATTTGAGAAGCATTCCTATGGGAATGGACGCATATATGTATGTTTTTGCTCTCCATCTCACCGAAGCTGAATGATTATGTCAAATTTTAAATCTGATGATGTTACAGCTTGTGCGCTTATGTTGTTCCCCCGAATAGTACAAGTTCCTCTTTATGCCAATGGATCCTTTTGACCGTTGTTTTTTCTTTTGAGTTTTGTGTTTTCTTTTGAGTTCTTACATATAAACAACCCAAAACTTTAAATTTAAATTTTATATTTCAATCACTCATAACTTTATATATTTAATGTTTTGGATGTTTTTGAGTGGTAGAAATGTAAAATTTGAAGTTTGGGTGATTAACAAGCTGTGTCTATGCATGCAAGTGTAAATTCTTCCATTGTTTGTGTTCAATAGCATTAAAAGTGATTTTATAATGCGATGTGTCTATGCACGCAACAATGGTGTAAGATATTGAGAAGGGAGATTTTCATAGATACCACCCAATATCTATGTTTTTACATATCTAGCACTTGATTTTAAATTTTTACATACATACTAGGTATGAAAAGGTGTATTTCACCCTTCACGAAAATGTGTATTGAAAGTTAAAATAGTGATATTTTTGATGTTATGTAAAAGATTTGAGTGACATAAATATAAAAATCAAAGTTTAGGTATCAAATATGTAAGAGGTATTTAGATAGATGCCACCCAATTTCTATATTTTTATGTATCTAACACTTCTCTTTACATTTTTATCATCAAAATGTTTCATATTACATAATAATTCCACCATCTTAACTACTAAAAATGTAAAATATTCTTTTTTCATGCATCAATAAAATCACTTGTATCTAAAATTTGAAGTTTAGGTGCCAGATATATAAATAAATAGAAATTGAGTTGCACATATGTAACTGGCCAAAATTAACATAGAAAATATAACAACATACTCTAAAACAATGATACACGTGCGTGTACTATGAACCTGTAAACCCTACATCACAAGATCCACCCAAACAAACAGGCAAACCCAACATGACAAGGGGCAACATGTTAGACTCGATTACGAGCATAATCCTATAATGTTTGATCTAAGCCGCCCCTTTTGCAACAACTCATCACCTAGGCTAAAGTGCAAAAGGCAACCCATTTTACGACTGATATGTAATAGGCAAACCATTGACCTGATTAAAGTCAACTAAGAGATTCACCCCCAATCATGGTTGATTTCCCAGTAGGGGGTATATAATCTAAGTTGATTCGTTGCTGAAAGGTTCTTAATGAGGTAGAAATCAATGTTTTGTATGTAATGTACTTTTTTTATCTTTTCATAGTCATCCCCATACAATAAAAGGGGATGCCCATCAATTATAACTAAGGTGTCAAATGATTGTAAAGGGATTTTGTTTTGGGCCCCTTATTATTTTTTCCTAGCAAGAAGAGAGATCATCATTTCCACTCTTCATTTACACTCACAAATATAAGCAATCAAAATGTAAATTATTGAAATTTAAGCATATTAAATTATATATAATTATTTATATATTGAATCTAAAAGAATATACTTAAAATACAAACACATGTATAAGTATGGCAGACTTAATATTTACGCTGACAACGTTGTATATGATTTTACATAATACAAGAAATTAAATGAGCTTGTCACCCAATAAAAAATAAAAAATAGGAAAAAAAAATTAAAAAAATGACAAATATGCAAAAATATAACTCTGAAATTAAGTTTACAACTTCGTAGATATCTATTTGTAAAGTGAAGTATGCTAGAGCTTTAAAAAAATGTCTATAATCATGAGCACCAACCCTTAACATTTATGCTAGGCTAGGAAAAGTTGCATAACAAAAAAAGCACAAATTTATTTAAAAAGGTAAATAAAAAAAATAAAAACTTGTTCATAGTTACATACAACCTTATATAAACTTATGTATATTACAAAAATTAGAAGACTTGGCCAAAAAAAGGAAAAAGAAGACACTCTTGTGTTTATAAGACTAAAATTGAGCTATAAAGTTGCATATATCTACATAGTATAAAAGGTGGAAGCAACATATTGGTTTAAAAAAAAAATCCATGCAGATGTATTTTGTGTATTTTACCTTAAAATTGATTTTATAAAGTTATATACAAATATATATAATACAAAATAGAAAAACATTACAAAAGTATATATGGAAGCATTTTATAACTTTGACATCATGTTTATAAGAATTTACACATAATATTTTATAACATAAAAATTGAATGAATTTGTCAAAAATACATGCACACAAGAGTGTATAGCCCATAAATTGACTTTAAGAAATTGCACAAAATGTGTACATACGATACTATGATCCAAAAAATATGCAAGAAAAAAAAAGAAAAAAAAAAACAAGGCACAAGTGTGTACATCATTACAATTAAATTCATAGTAGAAATTATGAAGTTTGAGTTATATATTTTGTTACATCTGTGTATTGAAGAATTTTTATGTAAAAGTTTGTTGTGAAAATTGATGGAGGTTGCATCCCATGACATTGTTGATAAAAACTTGTTGCGAAGATTTCAATTAATTTGACTCCAGGGAGAGTCCTAAAGAGATTTTACGACCATTAAAATAGGTTTTAAGGCATTGGATTCAATTTGTGCCCACTAGGTACTAAAGCTCTATAGGATGCCCAATTGTTGACTTGAACCTAGTTGAGCATGAAATAGGTTAACCTTGCCTGTTTAAGAATGAACTTAGTATTGAGCTACTAATTGTTGTTAATAATTTTGGTTCAATATGAGTTGATTTAAAACGAAGAGATGGGGAATATATTTTGAGTTAATCATTCACTAAAGTCTATAAGCGAACACCTAAGGCCCATCAAAGAGAAATCCTAAGACCAGAAGGAAGGGTGGAGTTTTAACTAATTTTCCCCACTCATTAAAAAATGAGATAAAAAGTTGGCCGATATTATATCTAATAATTAATAATCAAATAGAAAATATTACTTATTAAATTTTACATAGAATTTATTCTATTTAAGGATATCTAATGTTTTTTTTAAGATAACAGATACACTTTTCTTCACTCTTAAAATAAATTAAGGTATCTGAATGTGATCACAAAATAATCTAAAAAGAATCTAAAGGTTCTATTTATCAACTCCATGAAGTAGAAACATTATTCAACTCAAATAACATTATTAGAAACTCATAAGTAATATGTCTTGATCAAAAAGTAATGTTGGTCATTACTTTATTCTTAATTATTAATTAACGATGCCTAGATTGAAGGTTAATATGAGAAAATATAAGGAAATCTTGTAACTTCAATCACATAGCTAGGTGGTCAGTGATCGCGACTTTCTATAATTATAGAAGTGAAATGCAATGTATGTGATTAATTTTCTTAATAGATGTTCTTAATTTGCAACGGTTGCAAAAAAAGTTAATCCAAAGCAAAGGCTAGGTAAATTTTTTACTATGAAGCAAATAAGAATGCAGTTATAATATTTCAATATGAGATACTACGCAAGTATACATATCGTTATCAAGTAATATAAAACTTTTCTGATTAAGTCCCGAATATCGAACCCACGGGAAGGATTATTTCTAGATGACAAAATACTTAGCAATTTATATTCTTACTCGAATTTAAGATGCTAAATTATGAATGAAAGTTCAATTCTTTTTGTAATTTTTTGTTTAATTGAAAATAAAGTAAGCAACTAATTAACTTAACTAAAATACTTGTAAGATGAAGGCAATATAAGTAAAATATCTTTTTTCTTATCATGAATCAATGATAAATATAGAAATTTAGTTGTGAAAGTATACTAAATGTGTTGTGCCAAATAGAAGCAATAATATTTTTTACCATTACTGGAGATGCTATAAAGAACATTGATTAATCTATAATTTGAATAGTCTTGAAGACCAACTAGACATGAAAGATACTAGCTCTCACTCTAGATATCCCTCTTCTCCCTCCACCTGGGGGCTAACATCTTGTAGAAAAACCTAAAACTATAAATCAAATCGGGGGTTTTAGCCTGTCACTCTAAGGTCCTCTAATTTTACACCCTTTAAAATGTATTTCCCTATTTATTTGCACTCAACCCCATAAATTACATTCTCATTCATGAAATCAATATGTGATTCTAACCATTTGTTGACTGAGACAATACCATCTCGGATCTTACATGTTCTCACAACAGATATTAACATCTTAATTGACCAAATCAAGAAGTAAATGAAGTGCAATGTCTTGAATCATCACAACTTCTTCCAACATTGAAGTCAAATACTTCACACAACTTCCTTTAAACATTTAATCACTCATCATTTTAAGTTAATGATAAAGAAAACTACTCAGAATTCATAAAGAAAATACAACCACACAAGGGTTTAAAAGTAGAAATCATGCACAAAAACAAGAAATCTAAATTAAAAACCAAGTGTAGTCACAATTATAAACACTTATCTCAAATTATCTCCACCAATGTCTTGAAGTTCCTTTGATTTCTCTTCCTTCTCTCACAATACAAACTAACACTCAAAATAAAACAAAATAAAATAAGGTGGCCGATGGCGGTGGCGATGGGCGATGGGCGATGACGGTGTATATGTGAACTTTTGGTGGGTGGTTGTTGGCCCCCTCTCCTGGAAAATCTAAGTCTTTTCTTATAAAAATCCAAGGGGTGCCTTGGTGCTCTTCAAAAAGGTGTCTCCATTCAATGAATCTTCTAGAAGTTGTCTCCTCATAAGCCAATTGAATGAATTTTCGTGTCCATGGGCTACTTCCCACGTTTTTATCAAGGGTTGCTTCAAACACCTCTTTAAAATTTCGCTCCAATTAATATTTCTTCAAATAACTAACTTTGGTGCTTAAGCGCGGGGTACCTGCGCTTAGGCGCCCCAGTTCATTTTGTACATTTCTTCATTTTTGCTACAAATTTGATCTTTTTTTCATTCCTTTTAGGATTTTTCATCCATTTGATTGTAAATACAATAAAAACACAAAAATACTTTTCATTAAAGCGCAATATCTCAAAAATAGACATAAAATGTGTATACAAATACTATATGTTTTAGGTGTATTAAAATCCCCTAAACTTAAGATGTTACTTGTTCTCAAGTGACCTTTCATTCTTTAAAAACATACATATGTACATAATATATATAAGTTTCTTTAGGAGTTACTAAGATTTTGATGTAGAAATATAGTAGTCTAATTCAGAAAAAATATTAGTAAATGAGACCAACTTAAAATTTAGAAAATTTTAATGTTAAGAAATATGAAAATATGAGTTCCTATCTAATTCAGAAATATTGTAAAATTTTTAAATATAGAGTTTAGGAATTTTATCATCTCCAATTAAAAATTTTTATTAAACATAATTTTACTCACTATATTATATCCTTAAGCTTAAGAGTTTCTCAAGTCTTATACTTTAAAAAGATCAGATGTGGAACCAATTTTTGATTAGGCACTAATCCTCAAGCTTCTCCTCCCTTTTCTATTCTTTTCTTTTTCTTTCTTTTTTTCTTTTTTTCTTTTTCTTTCCTTTTTCTTTTTCTTTCTTTTTTTCTTTTTCTTTTCTTTTTCTTTTTCTTTTTTAGGCAAGGATTACTATTCTTTTACTCAGGCAAGGATTACTATATCTAGATAGACCTTTAATAATTTTGAATCCAAGCAAAGTATTAATATTTTTCTTTCACTTAAAAACATAATAATAGTTTTGAAAATTAATTTCATTAAAAGAAATTTAAGTTTTGAAAATAAAAGGTCTAAATTTCTAAGTTTTTCAAAAATACAATTTCTCCTACTAAAGATAATTACATAATACTTAGCATTTTCCACACTAAAAAATTTTAGCTTTAAGTTTTTCTTCATTACTATGAATTTTAACTAAATTCTCTTACTCGTTTCTAAAATCAAAATTTTACTTCCCTAATATAACTTCATATACATAGTTATTTTTCAAATCAAAATCAAATTTATTTGAAATATAATTGAGAACAAATAAATTTTTTAAGTTTCTTTTAAATTTTTTATCCCTCCAAACTTAAATTTTTAATAGAAATAAAACATTTTAGCATCATATATAAATAAGCAAAAATGAAAACTAACTATAACATGCTTGCAGGAATTTTTATATCCTAATTATGCAAGTACAAAAATTAAAAACATGAGTAAAAATTTAATTGATCAAATTTTCTTTTACTTAAAATACAAAGATTCATCAAACTTCTATGTAGTGGAGTATAACATAAAAACAAATAAACACATTAACAAACATACCTGACTGCAACATAGAGAAAAATAACTTGTAGTAAATTAAAAATTTCAAACATGTAGTTTTAAGTAACGAGTTAGCTATATTCTAAACCCTTCCAAGATTCCAGAATTAAGTTTAACAAACACTAACTAAATACAACAAAACAACACAATAAACACAATTACTACCACTCGAACGTACTAACTATACACAAAAATCCAAATACATCACAGTAGGTGTACTGAATAAAACATAACAACTAAAGCTAACAATTTCAACAATCTCAACTGCAAACAACAAACTACAGAATACCTGTACTATTAAAAGTTCATAACAATACATAAACATAAAATAACATAAAACAAAAAAAAAGAACTATAAATCCAACTAAGCATCATCTTCGTCATCACTATCATCACTACGCCAAGCAACAGTAGGCTCATATGGTGGATATCTTAGGTACCGAGGAAATACTACATCTCGGTTACCTATATTGAGATGCTCCATAGCTGTGTTGTACTCCTCATAATCACTTCTTCCTATCATATACCCATCCATATGCTCAGCAAAATGCTCTAAGTTTAATACCTTATTCGTAGTGTGATTGACATCATCTAAAATCCTTTGTAATAACTCAGTTTGAGACTCAGATCCTGAAGTCTGACCTCGTCATGTAGAAGCATGTGAAGTAGAGGCTCGTGAAGTAGAGGCAACAGAACTACTGGAGAATCCACCCTTCCAATTAAAAAGAGAATGATGTGAATAAGTCTTCACATTCACACTAGTAATGAGCTTAAATGGCTGTAGGATCTCCCCCAAACTATCATATTTAACACCAGCCTGCTCACAAAATGAAAAGATCAAGGATGCAAATCCCAAACTTGTGGTAGTAGCAACAATGAGAGAACTGGTAATAACTCCATAAATCAATCCTCCAATATCAATTTTCTTGGACTGCTGAATATAATAATTCAAAGTTGCTCTCTCTCTCTCGAGTCACTTCACTCAAATAATTTGTAGGCAACAGACGAGCAAAAATAAAATAATGTCATGCCTTTGCAGTGGCATCCAACTTTGAAGTAGAAAATTTTACCCTTTTTTCATTTGTAATTTTCCATAATCATCTCCCCTCAGTTAAAAATGATATAGTCTTGTCTAACTCCTCCTCAGTAGAACTATAGTTTGCGTAAAAACACAAAGTACAAGGAGGCATATGGTAAAACTTATTAATTACCTCAGAAGAAAATGGACTGTCTTCCCCCTCACTATGATTCCTTCCTCATTAGCCTCTGAGAGATTAGCATAGAACTCTCGTACAACAGAGATCACAGTGGCAACAAAAAAATAACAGAACCGCTCCAACTGGCGGCTAACAATCAACTCCTCCACGACTCCTCCTAGACTTTTGAAACATCGCTTAGGAATTAATTTCCTCTAATGCAATGCATCGCTATACCGATCCTGAGCTCTTGAACTGACAAATTTACTTGAATCGAACAGAGCTTTTCCCTTGCTTCTCTTCATTCTTGGCGTCATTTTCTAAAAAACAATGTATACAATCCAAAATAACTTCCAAAATCATCTTCAAATCACTAAACTCAACTTTTAAAAGCTTAAACTAACAAATCTATGCATTTTCCACAATTTTTCTCAAAATTTTCACCATGAATAGTGATTTTCAGGTAGATTATGAATGTGCTCAAAATACATGGTGAAAATCGCAAATTTTTGCATAGAAGTGAAGCTCTTACCTCAAGAAGATCAAATCTAACAAATTTGGCTTGAGTCTACTAAGAAATTTTCAAAATAGGTGACGCCCTAGCATAGAAATCGTGAAAAACCGAAGGTAGAATATGAAATTAAGGAAAAAATGGAGATTTTTGGACCCAAAGTTCACATAAAACCATTTGCAAACCGGTATTCGCAAACCAACTCTTAAGAACGAATGGTTCAGCGCCTAGGAACCAGTCTATCAATCTAGTCAGCGCTTAAGCGCGAGATTTGATGCTTAGGCGCCAGTGCACAATTTTTTATTTTTTTCATGTAAGTGAAATACACTCTAGCTTAAGTCAACTAACCCTCTATGGTCTCAAAAACATTCTATATACTATTTTCTTCCTTCTTGCTTATTATAACCCAAAGTTTCACCAATTTAAGCTAATTTGATTCACCACTAAATACACAAAATTTTCACAAACAAAACACTTATATTCATTCACAAACGATTACAAACTTTTTTGAAAACATAAATTCTCAATCAAAATAGTCTTGGAGAGAAAATTCCTAACACAGACTCTAAGCAAACTTAACACATAAAAACAATTTAAACCTTTCTTAACATTAACAAACAACATTAAGCACTCAAACACTAAACAAAGAACTTAATCATGAACTTAATTCCATTCTCTAGTCGATGGAACAAATTCTGGCCTATCATTAGTCTCTCCTTCAACATTTGGTATGTATATCTGAAAGAACGGACAATGATTAATAACTCTGGTTGAATCTTCTTCAATCCACTTGTTCTTCAGATACATAGTTTTATCTGCTTCTTTTATAAAATTGATATGGCTAAACGACATCTTTAGTTGCCATCCCAAATGATCCAGATGTGCGTTAACTTCCATCACTTTTGCTTCAATTGAAGCCACGTTAGCCTCAATTTTAGTGATCTTCTTTTTAGTTTTTTTTTAATAATCTGAGATAGATAGAATATTACGGATGCATAAGTCAAAGTTTGAATTTTAACTTATTCCTTACAAATATTCAGGCACTTGGCTTTTAGTTTTCTAGTATTCCAATTTTTTGGGTATTATTTCTAGAGATATTTTATTTTTAAATTTTTTTATGATTGGCAGAATTAAAAATAAAATAAAATACACTACACTATAAATTGGATTTTGGACTAAGTTAACTTTTTCAAAAGATTTTGATGCAAATTTATTGAAATAATAGGGAGCAAAATACTATTCCTCCACTCCTCAGACATGTTTTTAGTTTTTTAAAAATATTTTAGAGTCTAGTAAGCCAACAAACACCAAGATCTCTTAAATATTTTCAAACTTCAATTAGGATATTATCAGGTTGATTTTCTCCCCATAGTTTTCTTTAAAGCCTCATCAACTCCATTTTTACCAATGCAACAATAAAAACTAAAAATTTATTATTATTATTAATGATATTAAGATCAAAAAAGTCAATTGTATTTTCAAAACTTCATTGAAAATTTTATCAAAATATCTCACCCATCTATGTTGAATATCTTCAACTATGAAAAGTACTTTTTAATTTTCATCTTTATTACACTTTACTTGAATTAACTCTTTACCTTTATTTTCTCTTTATTTGCTAGTTTTCATAAACTTTTCACCATCTTTAGTATTTAAACTACTATAAATATCACTAAATGCAAAGTTCATAGCATCACAAATAGTTCTCTTGTAATTTTTATGAACCACCTTATATTTTTTCCCAATTCATTAAGCTTTTACATTTAAACCAATTTTTATAACAATTTTTTTTATATTTTATCTTTTCTTTTATCTTTTCTTGCATTCTTGCACATTATTATTCCACCACCAATTATTTGTATTTATACAATTTTTTTTTCTCTTGATTCTTCAAGTATATCTTTTATCACTTATTTAATAGTACTCGTTACTTCCAAAACTAATAATCGATGCAGAGTACTTAAAATTTTCACTTAGAATGACCTTAGAATCGTTAGATTCTATACGATCTCTTTTTTCCCATTAGAAAATAATCAATTTTTGTGTTGTTAGATTCATTCTTATAAGTAACAATGCTCATCTCTTTTTTTAATGAAATATTAACAATACAAAATCATAAGTTAAAGCTAAATTTAATATAATTTTATCCTCAATTAATCATTCCAAAATCTTCTTCAAATATATCTTTTACCACTTATTTAATAGTGCTTGTTACTTCCAAAACTAATAGTCAATGCTAGTTACTTAAATTTTCACTAAAAATGACCTTAGAATATTTAGATTCTCGATGATCTCTTTTTTCTCATAAGAAAATAATTATTTCTTTTGTTACTAGATCCATTCTTATAAGTAACGATAAGCTCATCTCTTTTTTTAAACAAAATATTAGCAATAACAAAATTATAAGTTAAAGCAAAATCTAATATTATTTTTTCCTCTTCATTAATCACTCCAAAATCTTAGTACCATGAATATTTTAAATTATTTTACCAGATCTACTCCAATAAAAATTCTTCTTCAAGAGGTATAAAGGAAGTTGAGGAGGGTTGCCAATATAGACAACATTATTATCTCATTATTACAAAGAACAAACTCAAGCAAAACAACAAATACAAATTGCATATATTTTAATATTACATGTTCCTTACTCATTGTTTATACTTTGAAAGTTACAATTATTTGGCACCCCTAACACCCCTAAGTCCAATAATAGAGAACAAAATTATTTACCTCTTTGGCAATGCTTGACTTACGAAGCAAAAAGTAAAAGCAGATACTTGGGTTGACGGTCGAAGCTAAAGTTATGCTTGGGTTGTTGCTCGAAGCAAAATTTGTGCTTTGGTCGACGCTCAAAGTAAGGACGTTGTTGACACTAGAAGGAGGGGCACTTGTTGACCATCAAAGCAGAAGTTGCATTGGGAAAATGCTCGAAAATGAAGTGGTAGAGAAGAAGGGACGCTCGTTGATGATCGAGTGGTTTCTCAAAGTAGATGTTGTGCTCTAGATGACACTCCAAAATTGAACCTAAATAGTACTTGTCAATCACAAGTAATTTAACTTTAAAACATGAGGCATGCCTCAAATGCCTCAAGGCAACACGCTTCCAAACACATGCCTCAATTAAAAAAGGCATAAGCCTTATTTGAAGGACTGACGCTTAAGTCCTAAGGCTACTATTTAGCACTTTGAATTGAGGTGCACCTTGAGGCAGATTTTTTAAATGTTGGCATAAATGAATAGCTTATGTTTTAACTGAGTTTTCCTACGAGATTAACCCCCTTCTAAGATACACTGAACCGAAGAGACTTAACTCTTTTGTGATACCAAAATCTTAGATTAATATAAACCCTATCATTTTTTCTTTAGATAGGGGAAAAGTTTCAAGTCCGCAGACCCCGAAGTTGTGAAATAATTATTCACAATTAGATTCATTGTATAGTAGTATTTTGATAATATCCTCTTCCCTAATTATGTATTTGATCACATATAAAAATTTACAAAGCTTTTATGTGTGTTCCACATATTCTATCTCCCAAATAAGATGCACCCCCTCACAACATAGGCAACCTTCCTAGGTCATACCCTGACCAATTAAGCCAATTCTATGTTCATTAAAGCCTTTGTGAGTCTAATGGGACTCAAACCTATTATTGACTCATTTACGTAATAATACGACAAAACAAATTAAACCAAATCCAAATTCAATCATATTTGCTTAGGCAACTTCTTTGGCAACACTGTAGCTATTTGAACTAATGCCATGAACATTGGACCTTAATGTGGTTCAATTAGGTTTTAACTCAAAATTGCCCCCAATTAAGTCTACATAAGTCATTTCAATCTAGTTGAATCTTTAATCTCATCAAATTAGTCTTCTTAAGAAAACAAGGGAGAATAGGTATTTAATTTTTTTTTTCCACATCAACACCTATGTGATTTTAAACATGATATCTCTTTTCTTCCCAAATTAGTCTTTTTAAGAAAGCAAGGGAGAATATTTATTTAATTTTTTTTCCACATCATCACCTATGTGATTTTAAAGATGGCATTTCTTCCAAAATTTTATATATTTATTTTATCAAACTTAACTACCTAAAAATACTCAATGACCAATTTGTAATTTAATTTATAATTTCCAATATTAACTTACATCAATCAACTATGTATTGTTTAGTTGCCAAATATTATTCTTTGATGATTTTAGTATAAATTAAAATCTATGTGACAAAATAATTAATAAAAAATATTAAAATGTGGAATAAATATCAGATGTGTTGAATCCCAAAATGTCCTTCGGGTCACACCCAAGGGATAGAACATTGGATAGATGAGAGAAAATATAAAATTAAATGAAGATAGAGTAGAGTGTATAATAATACATATTATGTTGGAATGAATTCAGTAATCCTTCGTGAAATGACTCCCCTATTTATAGATCATAGAGGTTGTCCAGTAAATTACATCTTTGTTATTGATTAAATAACAACGTTACCTGTGATTAATGAACCATTACATCTTTACATATTTGAAATCGACTCTGTTGTCTTTTGGTCTCAATAACTGTTGTTGGCACTGTTCCGTATATGTAATTGCTACTGACATCATTTCATATTTATAACTATTCAACTTGGATCCCTGATAGTCGCCGACCGACTGAAAGTTCTTCGATCAGTTGATAGATCTTCGGTTGGCTTCGCTAAAGGAACCTGGAGCCCTCCTTTTCCTTAGGAAGATTTTATTCTATCAGGCAGAGGGTGTGTCACCGTAATATGATGAACAACTTTTCTTCGGACAAGAAGTCTTGAAAAGGAGTTTTGCAAAGCGATCGTTGATCTTCTCTACTAATGAACTAGAAACGGTTGAGGGAGTCGATTTGGTACTGTCGTCATTGGTTCGGTTGTACAACATTCTTAGTTTTGATGAACTGTCCTTTAATAGGCCCATGTTTCGATCGAATGAAATGATCCTTGAAGGCTCGGTCTTTCGATCTTGATGATGCGATCCTTTTGTATCTCCTTCGTGTAATCCATCAAACTTCCTCGAAATTCGTATAGTCAAAATTTTGATGTACAAGATGTCATAAGAGTTGTTAAACAATATGAATTTAACATTTATCATCTTTAAGATTCTTCCATATCCAATTTATAAGTAATTTAACAATTAATTCCTTATGAAATATGCTTATGTTTATTTTGACAGCTTTAATGAAAAAAGAAAAGAAAAGAAAGAAAAAAAAGAAAAGAAAAGAAAAGCAAAGCTAAAGCATTTTGGAACATCCAATAAGCACAAAAAGCTAAAAAAAGAACAACTGTTCATGGCGACGCCTAACATTCTACTTTTACAAAGCAAGCCACATATTATCTATTGCACAGAACACAAAAGTCAATAGTCAAACATTCCTCTTTTCTTTAAAATATCAGTCAATTTGCATATATGCACCTCGATGTACTGAAAAGTAACTTCCAAAACACACTCATACAAGCCATAAACTCCAAAATACAAAGAAACCTATAAGCTCCCTAATTAGAAGCCATCACAATTCTCCCAAATCATTAAGACTATACCTTAAATTAATAACAGAAAGTACCTAATCCTTAGCACTTCCATCTCTTCAACGTTTCAGAACAAAACACAGAATCTAACAGTTTAGTATCTACAGCTGAGACCCCAAAGGAATTCTCTAGAGTGAGTGATAAGCCGATGAACTACCGGAAACTGATGGTCTGGAGTTGGCTGCTGGTTCTTCCTTGGGAACAATTTTTGGCATCATGAAGCCTACTGCACTGCCCAGCTGATTTTGAGACATACAAGCAGAAGTTGGAGGGAGAACGGGCATTTTTAATGATGCCAAGCTTCCAAAACCAGCCATGGAAAATCTTGGATCAAAGCCATGACGTGCCATCACATGGGAGAAATTGGAGACAGCTCCTATACGTTGATTTCTTATGGGTAAGCTGAAAGAGCG